TGGTGAGGGGGTTGTAAACTGCAGGGAAGTCTAACAAGTAGCCAAAGCTACCCTCTTAGTCTCTAGGTCTAGGAAGGGGATACGATCCAAGCGACTAATGCGACTCTCTCAACTTATTGACTAAGGAATTGTTAGACTTCAACCTCGAATTGGATTTCGGACGGCCACCCACAACCAAACATTAGGTGCTAATACAAAATATGAGGTTTGCCCTGTGTTAACCTAACTAGGAGATAATGAATTGCAAAAGGAAACCCATCATTCAAACCTCTTTCAAGGAAAGGAAAGGGGGTTTCTCTCTACCTAGGTTAGAATGGCAATTAGATTGATAGGCTTTCACACAACACAATCATTCATGAATAACAGCTCCACATTCACATTAAACACAACTACACACAAATCATTCAATTCATACAAGCATTCACATAATTGTAGCTAGGGTTTACAAACACCCAAGTGAAAGAAGGGACTACTCCATGCTAGGAGAAATGAAAACACAAGAGAGAAGAAGGGAAACCATCAAAGAGATGCTAGCCTTGCTCCTTGTGTTGAAAAGATCCTCCTTTAGGGAAGGAATTCCCAATTCCTTGCTTGGAGATGAAACCCTAGCTTCTCCTCTTTTTCGGTTCATCACTTTCTCACTCTAGAAATTTGAAAAAGAAGAAGAAGAAGTTTCTCACACTAGGTCTCTCTCTTCTTCTTCCTTTCAAGTTTCAGCTAGCTCTTTACATTGTGATTGTGGCTAGTTCACGACCCAAGTTCATGGCCGTGAACATCAAAACGCTTTCGTGAACACAATGTGATGAACCGAAACGCACTGCTTCACTTCTTGGATTCACGGTTTGGGTTGCAGTTCAAGGTCAACGGTGTGTCGCGTAATTGTAATGTCAGAGCAGATTGGGTTGCGCGATCTCGTGCTAGATCTTCTCTCCCAGTTAACTGGATTAGTGTTCTTGATCTAATTTCTGATCTCCTTTGAGATTTGTAACCAATTTCTTCGTACTGTGGAATAAAAGATGATTCTTACTGTAAAAAAAAAAGTAGTGTTCAGTTAATCATTATAGTTGAAGTCATGTATACCCATACATAATTTCGTTGCTTACTAATGCCATATGTATAGTTTGCCAATATTTAATCAATTTGGAGATGAAATTTGAAGACCAAAAAGGACCTTGATATGATTATGCACTAAATGAATGGTTGCCTAAATTTAACACAAATCCCACCGCGGAGCTCGGGCAATGAAGACTAGTTATTATTAATCTTGGAGCTTCTCGAACAGGGAAATGAAGAACTGTCAGGTGGCGATTTGTTTTCCAACTAAGAATTGGTTCCTGGACAGTGGTCACTTCCACCAAACTCCTCTACTTGTGGTAAAGTAGATGGTTGCTAGCCTTCACAACAAAAGAGATAAAATAGAAACAAGAAAGCTATGCGAAATCAAGAGACAATGTTTTCTCGAAAAGAGGTAAGCACCTTAAGTTTTCTCGTGGGTCATTATTGAATGAAAAAATAAGAATCTATGATATAGCTTTATGTATGGAATTGAGAAACATTGAGAATGCTAGAGAAACGAGAATTGATGCATGATAAGTTGACATTGAGATATATTTCGTATCTTGATGATTAGAGCATAAATTGAATACATGATATGGAAAGAATGATTTTGTCTAAATGTGTGCATTGAAGAATATATCGGAATAGAATGGGTTTATTGCTCATAATAACAATATTGTAAGAAGTACTATTATCAGTACTACGAACCACTTAGGTTGCTTTGAAACATTAAAGTTTCAAGAATGAGAGCAGCAAGCCGAACCATATCCATACCAAATCGAATGGTACCCTTCGTGGTAACCTTAAGATTGACATCCAATCCTCTAAGATGACGCTATATTTGCTATATTTCTCTGTTAAATTTGTGAGAAACTAGGTCATAAGACATGAAAGTGTAAGAACAAGTTTAACCTAGTGTTAACTTGACTAAATAAAACTATTTGGTGGTAATAATCACTAATGGAGTGATATGCCTTAATGGCAATTCTGAAGAATGGTAGTTTGATATTGACGTCTCAAGGCATCCATCTGATAAAATAGCTAAGCTCAATCATGCATTGGGGCGTATTGAAGGAGAAAGTGTCGTTGGGCAAGACCCTCACCACTATTGTTGATGGTTCTGGGAAAGTGGAAGAGAACCCTACCTCTAGAAAGTCATTGACTATCCTAGACGTAAGGAATGGTGAAGTATATAAGATAAATTCTTCCAAGTGTGTATGTGTGAAGAATTATAATATCTTATATCACATTCGCATATTATTATTGGATGCTATAGAAAAATATGAATTTTGTATATTCAAACTAAATGACCCATAAATATGTGGTTAGAGAATCAGAATCGGTAGATCTTATTTATTTTGATATGAGTAAACAAAGGTGGAAAGATAATAAATCATTTATTGCTCTATAAAGTGTTTTGTCTACTTATTGGAGATGCTAATTTGAAATAGCTTGAGAAATGCTTAATTGCATTGTTACTGATTATTCAATATATCGCATGCTTGTGGTAGAGGTAACAAACCAGTGTAGTGATAACTAGAAGAGCATATGAGTGTGTTTTATGTTGTCAACAATAAAAACACATAGTTCCTATGAAACGAAATAGTCATGTTGTTGTGAAATCCATTGATGCCAATAAACTTCCATTTTAAATCAAGAAATAGTGGGGGCGATATCTTGCCTGCTATTAGAAATAATGGATAACTAGTGGGGGTGTTGAATCTGGGTATGAACTCAGAAGAAACAAATGAACCATAAATCACGAAAGGATTTTGGTTATGAATTTGTTATTTACACCCTAAGAAAGAAAGATCCTACAAGTATGGTAGAAGTTCGAACTTTCATGAAAATGCAAATTTGTAGGAGAATCAATTATTAAGGAAATGGAATTATTGGAGTCTAATAAGACTTAGAATCTTGTAGAGTTACCTCTTGGCTATAAGTCTTGGGTAATATATCAATAGAATCGAACAAGATTTGGCATTCTTGAGAATTACCTCTTGGCAATGAAGTCATGCGTAATAAATGGATTCTTAAAAAAGGAAAAAACTAAAACCTGATGGTTTAGTTTATGAGATAAGGATCGCCTACTAGCTAAACCTTTAGGCGAAGAAGGAAAAATTGTGGATTTCTTTGATATTTATTCACCACATCTAGAATAACATCCATGTGTCATATATTGTGAATCACATGGATTGTTCAAACTGTTTTCGTGGATGGTGATTTAGATAGGGAAATCTACGTGGGACAACCTATAGAGTTGTTATTCCTGAACATGCTTATGGAGTCTATAGCTAGACAAGTCAATGTGAGATTTGAAACAGACTCTAAGACGATGGCATGAATAAACTGGTTCTCTCTCATGGTTTTTAATGAAGGTGACAAGTGCATTTAATACAAGTTTGAGAATGACACGTGCACTATGAATGACATGTTGATCTTTGGTACAAAGACTCATGATATTAACGATGTGAAAAATCATGTTTGAGAATTTTGAATGATCTAGATGAAGGTTGTGTAAGCTAGTAGATCCAGGTACCTATGACAACGAAATAGATTTCCTCTAGATCAATTTAGCTACATAGTTAAGATCTAGAAGAAATACAAGTTATATGCTTGCACAAATGGTTGATGATGCTAGTATAAATATTAAAGAACATTGGAAATGGTGTAAGAAACTAAGAAAGTTAGAATATACTAGCATCGACATTCTGCGTAAGGCAGCTGGCAAACATGAGACCCGATTTAGTGGAGGTAATTAGCAGGCTTACTGATTGTCCTAGAATGAAGCATTGAAGTGCTATTGAAAGGGGTCATGAGACACCTTAAGAGAACAATAGACCTTGATATAAGTTATCAACGGTTTTTTGCTGTATTGGTAGGGTATATTGATGCGAAAGAGAATACCATATAGAAGATTCCAAGGCATCCAGTGGACATGTTTTAAACATCACTGGAAGTGTTGTGTCTTGGAATTCTAAGAAGTAAATGACCCTGGTTCAATCAACTAAGAAATCAGAAATGATGGAGCTAGTAATGGCTAGTAAAGAGAAAAGTTGATTGAGAGGGTCATTACTAGAGATTCCCTCCGGTAGTTGATTCATTATGATAGCACCGCAACTATTACTAAGGAAGGAAACCGGTTCTAGAACGATAAGAGACGAAAAACTCGTCGTAAGCACAGTACTGTACGAGAACTCCTAACGATAGGAGCAATGAGGGTGGATCCTGTAAGGTCCTAACAGAATCTAGCTGATCCTGTGACGAAAGGATTATCTAGAGATAAAGTCCAAAATACCGCCGAGGGTATGTGACTTATGCCTACCTAACCACGGACTACAAGTGATGGTAACCCGACCCAATAGACTGCAGATCCCAAGAAACGGGTTCAATGGGTAATAACAAGTCATGAGTAGTATGCGAAAAGTTCATGCATAGAGAAACATGAATCCCAAAGTAATGGAGGTTGAGTTAACAACTCTTAATGAGATCTATACCCTATGTGGGGTGGAGTACTTTACTTTGGGGGTACTCCTGATAGTGTTGAGGATATTAATTATTTAGTCAAAAATAATTAATTCCTTGTCCTCTAAGTCCCTTGTTTCCTTGTCCTTGTCAAAGAAGGAAACTTGGTTGTCATTAGGGTTTTAACCCTACGTCTATATAAGCTTAGCTATGGAGATTGTCGTAAGCAAGCCGTCACAATGTAGTCCCTAATAAAATATCAGTAGTGAGCTCGTTCCGAGCTCACCGTGGATTAGTCTCGATCAATCGATCGAGGATACCACGTAAAATCTTGTGTTCTGTGTTCGTTTATTTCCGCGTCATCAAACTCTTCATGGTATCAGAGCAGAATTCGATCCCTTGTTTAGGGTTTTGAGCTTCCGCAGTCAAGGTGAAGTCCAGCCCGTCGTCCGTCAATCTCTCAAGCTACCTTTACAGTAGCCACCGTTGGTAGTCAACTCAATGTTGGCGTCTCTCCAACATCATCTCGGCGTCCCCTCGATAGTCATGGTTGTCGTTGAAAGAAGAGCCGATTTCCAATCCGACCTTCTACCCCGGATTCGTATCATGGTCGGCGAAGTCCTTCCCGCCGACAAGAACAAGATCTCCAGCTCCATTGCATCCTCTCCAGTGGAATCAATGTCATATGCGCCGCTATTGATGATGCTGTCGTCGTCCCACACCATCGTCGTCTGCGCATCGTCGTCATCAGCTTTTGTGTTGTCGTTTGGTCAATTATGTTTGGAGAGAGACAACTTCGACCGAGAATCTCAATCATCAATTCAACGTGATTTCAATCAAGCATCGCCGGCAGCTCCTGAGTCGCGGCACCTAGTCAAAGCTAAGTCATCAACCTCGTCAGCCAAATCATCAAAGTCAAGATTCAGTCTCGGCTGCCCTTCTTCTTCACGTTGGCGTTGTTCGTTTCCGTAGTCTTGTTGGTTCGTTGGCAACACAAAGGCCAAGCCCAAAAGAGACTCCGATTCAACGCCGAGGGCGTCTCCGTCTACATATACAATCAAGGGTAAGATTCGAAGCTGAAAGTTCAGCAAGGGTTTAATTTTCATTGTCTATGCAGCTGAGTTTTTCTCTTGAGCTGCTTCATCATGTCCGATGAAGAGTCAAGCTTGAGACAACCGGTGGGAAGTCTCTTGTTCGTGCTGTCAAGCGTTGTGTACGTGGTGTACCTTGGAAATTAAAGGGCTTTCCCCTGCACATCATCTGAAGTTCATAGCTTGTTTCAGCATATAGTCAAACTTAGTTGGTCGTCGTCTCATCTTTGTTGCGGCCACGTCATCAAATAGCACAGTCGCATCATAGCAATTGATCTTCCGGCCTCTAATCTCAAGTCGGAGGTTTCAATCACCGAGTCAAGCCTCATCCCTGAAGTTTTGTTCCGAAGATTTCACCAGCAGCCCTTTCCATACGGTGTACAAGTTTGGCTTTTAATCCAAGTTCAACAAAACTTGTCGAGAAGATGCATTCAGAAGCATGTCCAAATGGGTTTGTCCTCTTCTGTAACATCCTTGGGTGAGGCTCGTCTTTAACCTTGTACTTGGTGCTAATGTGCTTTGCACGGTATCACCCCACAGTCAATTATTCTTCCATTCATGTGGTGGGGAAAAAATGTGTTTGGTGGTCAAAAGTTGGGCAATGGAAGGTAACGAGTTCTAGCACCAAGATCAAGCACTTCCGTTGCCGCTTGGTTAAATCAGTTTGGGGTACCGGACTTGGCTTCTCTGTCCAGTCAACGTCACTCTAAGTGTGGAAGGTGGAGTTTTATCTCACGGCATGTCATGTAGCTGGTTATATCATCGTGAATCTTCACCACCATCGATTAAAGTCATGGAATTGAAGACAGTCGCGACCTGCAGTGGTCGTCCCTTCAGTAGCTAGTGTTGGGGAGATACGGCTTTCGTCAACAAAGAAGTTCAATGCGAGGCAGTCATGATCAAAGAAGTGATCGTCCCCTCCGCTTTCAACATCGGTCAATGTTGAGTCATTACCATTCTCACTTTCAAGCTGGGCATTCAGGTCGTTCATGATCCAGCTTGAGGGGGGAATAGGAGGTCAACATACGTCGGTCGACTAGCTCAGTCATCAAGTTGATCGCGTCTATCTATCCGTCAGGAAGATCAAGAGACGTAGTCAATCGTCTCCGTCAGTGAGTTCAAGAGACGCAGTCAACCGTCTCCGTCAGGAAGTTCTAGAAGACGCAGTCAACCGTCTTCATAAGGTTGTTTAAGGGAGAGAGTCAGTCGTCTCCAAATCAACCTCGTCCGAGATGTTATTCATCTCGAGTTATGTTGTTCAAGCTTGTCATGCTTGTTCGTCACATTTCGTTTTTCAAGCGCGACATTCATGTCACTCCTGTCTTCGCTTGAGGGGGAGTGTTGAGGATATTAATTCTTTAGTCAAAAATAATTAATTCATTGTCCTCCAAGTCCCTTGTTTCCTTGTCCTTGTCAAAGAAGGAAACTTGGTTGTCATTAGGGTTTTAACCCTACGTCTATATAAGCTTAGCTACGGAGATTGTCGTAAGCAAGCAGTCACAATGTAGTCCCTAATAAAATATCAGTCGTGAGCTCGTTCCGAGCTCACCGTGGATTAGTCTCGATCAATCGATCGAGGATAGCACGTAAAATTTTGTGTTCTGTGTTCGTTTATTTCCGCGTCATCAAATTCTTCAGATAGACTCACCTATGTGAATGTGGGAGTGGGGCTGCTCCCTATGGAACTTTGGAGGCACAAATTTGCTAGAGCGTTCACTAAACCGGGATAACGTGCATGGCCATAAATGCACGACCTGTGAGAGAATATCACTCAATGAAAAGATCTGGTGTGCTACATTGTCTGAATAGGGTTCAAGACTACGAGTCACCCTTATGAAATCAGAAGTGTAACCACTACGCTAAGGTTCAAATCTTCGCGATACCTTAACTTATGCCCGATCTTATGGATATGTTGATGCTCAGATATAGTTTCAAAACTATTCAAGTGGGGGATTGTTGGGAATGAATAGCTTTGAAAGCTATATTGAATTAATTATCCAGTATTCTTTCTAGATACGAAAATAAGAAGGATAATTAATAAAAAGAATATTATGTAGATAATTAGGATTAATTATCTTAATATAATATAATATATTTTAATTATGGAAGTAATTATCTTCCTAATTAAAATGTGGCTTATTCCCAAAGAAAGAAGGAATATTCTAGGTTTTCTGCTTCTATAAATAGCAGTCCCCTAGACCCTCTAAAAACACCTCAGTAAAGCAGAAACATGAGAGAGAGTGAGTTCATAGAGCTCCGGTTTTTCGCACAAAACCGATGAGCAACAAAATCAGAGTGGTTATTTTATCCTGGAGGCGACCGGCTGATAATCTGTTGTGCGCAATATGAGACAGTGTCGCGAACATCTTAAAGAAAGCGACGTAGTCCGCGACTCAGCAAGATCGATAACTCTAATTTTCCATGTTCGGTTTCTAACAATTAGAAGTTTGTCGGTTCATGGAAATGGAGTTAAATACATATACACACGTATATATATATATATAGTCATAGGAAGAGAAGATATGCCCATAGTTGTTTAATTCTTTATTAGGATACGTGGCTATTAAGTTCTGAATTTGGGAGATTTTACCATGTGATTGCTTACTACAACTTTTACTGCAAAATTTAGATACTTTTAGATTAATAATTGAAAAGAAACGCATGGCGGCATGCAGGTTAGTCATTTGTCACTTGTCAGTGTATGTAATCACAATTTTGACCAAACAATCATCTTTTAGTGTGAGTTTTTATTTGATCTAGAATAAGAACTATGCGTAGAACAATTTTTATGTTTTAGCCTTATTTGTTCTGATTTAAAATCCATTTTTCTTGATTTTAGTGTTGTTTCTCTACTGTTTAAATTATCAAATTCATCATTTTTACTCCCGTATTTTTATTGACGTATCTTTGATGAAAATCTATATTATAAATGCATAATTCTTTTGACGTATATTTAGAATGTCCGCTCTTTTTGCCGAATCTTTAATCGTAATATTAATTCCAAATGAAGTATTATTCACGTAAATATTTTTATCGTAAGATACTCGTCCCGTATTTTACTAACTATGGGCGGCAGCAGCAAAAAAAAATTCACCTCCCCTGGATGCATGTCAATTTGAGCCTGTGTCCGTAAACATGTTTTTCGAGGAAAAGAGTACCAAGAACCTCGTCGAACTGCATATCATCTTTATTCAATCACAAGGAGAGTAGAAACTCATATTCTGGAACCTGCTTCATTAAAAAGGTAAGCAACCGTGTATGCTGTCTTTCCGCCAAGGTGTCTTTGGTTAGGATAGCCAGTGGACATAGCGCAGCATCAAGCAAATCTTCTTTGGTCCACCTTTCCTCAACAACATTGAAATGTTCGGTAATCTTGCGATCATCTTGCTCCAAACTAGCTAGGGCGAGGTGAATCTCGAATTGACGAGCAGCATTGACAGTCAAATATGTGGAGGAAAGATATTTCTTGCGCGTTTCACGAACTATGAACTTCGAATCATTTGCTATGAATGTGATTGGGAATTCGTCATCTTGGTCGGCAATAGTTAGGTGGACAATGAATTCGTCATCTTGGTCGTCATCTTGGATTAAATTTTTGTAGGTTTTCATACCATGATAATTGATAAAAAGCATAAACTAAAAAACAAACACTGATTTACGTGGTATCCCTGAAATTACAGGACTTATCCACTGAAGATTTAATTTTGAGCACTCATTGATTGATCAATTTTCAGGTTGTATTTACTCACCAAGCACAACCAAGTATGGTCCGTGCCATCACTTGAGCCTACATGGAGAACATACGTGGTAATAAATGCTTCACACCTTATGCCTCCTTCATTCAGTACTCTTCATTGTAACACCCTAACCCGGATGGGTACTAATTTTACTAAAATGTCCTTGAAAAATAAAATACTGAAATCTTAAATTGCAGCAGGAAAAATTTTCATAAATAAAATACTGAAAACACACACACTTGTAGTTCAAAGCAACGCCCTAACAGGTGGGAAAATTAAACTCAAACTTTAAAATCTCAATCTAATCTCCAGTTTATACTCATAATCATAAAATTTAATAACTCACTAATGTATGACATTGCCGCTTCCAGAAAACCTTGACTATGCATCCTTCGTTACTCGTGTACCGTCCTCCTCTAGGTGGCTTCCTTGGAGCTGCTTCTCCCGATCTCGCCGCTCTCTAACTACTCCTCTAGCTTTTCCTCATCAAACTGGTGAGTGAGTTGGGGTCAGTCTACGCCCTTACGTTTTAAAAGTCTAGTACTTGAGTATTGTACTTCAAACACTTAAATATGTGGGAGTTGTTTGTACTTCCACTCTTATAAGCTATATATGAGATATTGTTACACTCCATTCTTACAACTCAAATTTCAACTTAAATACTTGACTGAAACGGGGATCCCTCACTAGCTAGTCTGGTTGCCAAACTCATACGTATGATATGAGAAGCCATCCAGGTTTTCCTTAAACTTAAACTTAGTTAGGATAGTTGTAACGATTCATCCCCCTAACATCTTAAACTTATCGTGGTGGCTCTTCACCATGATTCTCAAGAGTATAAATGCTGCTCATCTTAAAAATCTCAAGAGCATAACTGCTACTCTATCTCAAAATCTTAAATGGCAACAGACTGGCGCTAGTGACTAAAAACTCTTAAAATGATTTCACAATCTTGAAGGTGGAGTACTTCTTAAAAAGAACTTGTTTCTTAAACTTTAACAATGACTCATAACGTAAAGCTTTAGAGTAATCAAATAACATACATAACTTCAAATCACAACTCAAATAGAGCACATACCATCAAACATAATCATGCAATCTCAAACATGAATCAATTACTACACATACATTATGTAAATCAATACTGAAAATACTTGGAAAAAAAACAGTAAGGCGTAGAATTTACCACCTTTACACTCACCTTGTTGACGAAATCGCTGAGATTGAGCCGGTGAGAAACCATGCTT